GAGAAGAGTGTTCTCTGCACTGCTGCCACCAGTGCTTCTACAGTTCCTTCTATTAAGGGGAGTGGTGAAACACGAGTCTTGAACAGTGTTTCATGGACTCCCTACAGACTTAATGAACAGGAAGGTAAATCTCGAGGCCATAGAGACTTTCTGTGGGACAAGAAGAACAAAACTATTCTCAAATACAGACAAAACAGGTCAGTTGAAGGCTTCCAAAGACTTAAAAGCAGAGAGATTCTTCTTGGGATATTTAAGATGATTGAGAACAAAAAACAACCTACACGCAGGTTCAAGTTCCTTTCTTCACAATACTAAGGTTTGTCTTAGTACAGACTTGTTTCATAATCTCAGATTTTTCCTTCTCAAAACCAGAAGAGAAGCGCTGTAGAGAGTGCTAGTTTTGCAATAATACACAATAATATTAGCATTTGGCTGTTTAAATTAAAGAACAAATTTCATAACATTGTTATGGAGACTGTATATAATTACTAATAATCAAGGATAGGACTTCCAGTGCTATTGGAAACATTCTGCCTTCCTTGGGAAAGAATACCACTTCTGCAGACAGCCTTTAGGGCTAGAAAACCCTAAAACAATCAACCCATAAACCACAACAATCCCCCTCCCTCTTATTAATTTGAGATTCTTCCTAAATGTCCTGTTCATCCCCAAGTCCCTCTTTTCCCATTTGCCTATGTCTTAGGAAAAGCAATTAGTTCATGCTGGTGCTAGTCACCAGTACCAGGAGTGACTTTCAGAACTGGGGTACTATTTTCCCATTAGATGCCAAGCAGACTGCCATTATAACCCTGCAAGCACTTGCAACCTAATGATGTATAATGCCATGTGCCAGAGGTCTCTCCATTACTGAAAAGGCAAGTTCATGCCTGAGGCAGCTTACATCTGTGAGCTACCCACAGAGAACAGAGGAAAAAAAAAAAGTTATTTTGATTTTACTATGAGATAAGCAACATACAGGTGAATTGCAGATTCAGCCATGAAGCTGACCTAATGCATTGCACATGAGAACTGAACCAGCCCATTTTCTCTTTTCTACGTTTGTGCAACAGCTCATGTAGGTCTGTACAAAGAAAAACTCACTATTTTTACCACAGTTTCTTTAGACAATTATTCCCTAACTTACAACATGCTGTATTATCTTTCAATAAGATTCACTGTTTGAAGTTCTCTTATAGTTTCTTCTATGTATGAAAAGTATTAAACCAAAATACTAAAGTTTAGGATTTTTCAAAATGCATCCTATAACAAGCATTTATCTATTTTGCTGACAATTTCTTTACAAAGCAGTGAGGAATTTCTATATGTCATTGACTTTTTTTTTTAACCATCTGACCATATTACAAAAGTCTTCTACATCTTAGTTTCACTTAGTGTCTTTTTGTTGGAGTGTTCATAAACAAAAGAATTATCTCAAAGAATAAATTTAATTAGTGTTAAGTGTCAAGACTGGTTACTTCAATGACTTAGGATAGTAATCTTCTTTATTATTTTAAATATTAATGTAATGATAGGGCAAACTGGTGACAGCATAATACATAAACCAGGATGATGACATGATCAATTTTGTAAATGTGTCCCCTTTTACCCTTCTCTAACAGTCAAAACTTATATTGTGAATCAAAGCTATGTTAAAATTCTTCTGTAACTTAGCCTCTGACAATCAGTAAATAAAATAACCTTATCTGCAGCAACTGTAATAGCTGCAGATACTAAAAAACCTACTACCATAGAGTCTCTTGCGCAGAAATGCATTTACTTTTAAAATAGAAAAGAAAAATAATTATAGGATTAATACATGACTCAGAACTTTGTGCTACTCATCTTGTTAATATAGAAGTTACAACTCTAATCACATTTCATAGGATGAGTCTTTTATTCCAGGATCCAAAAGGGATGCTTCTACATAAACATCAATGCAGATATGGGTGTGAAAAAAAACCTCTCTACTTCTCTGTTTACATCTAGTATTTATTTGGGAAACTGTGATGAAACTAGCAATGAATCAAAGTGCCTCGGTGACATCCATGTGTAGTCACTACACATTAATGTGAACATCTTTAAACAAATATACAGCACTACTTCCTTCTAGCAGAGCTGAGAAGGACACCTATTCAGAGTTTGCAGACACAGCATTATCTTTGCTTCCAACTTTATAATGAAATAAAAGCAAACCTCCATTCTTAACATACTGAACTCTGTATAAATAAGTTTCTCAGTATAAAAATCTAGTGGTGCACATTTAGTAAACCATTACTATCATGATTTTGCTAAGTTTGCATAACACAAATTAAAGTTACAGAAACTAACCCTGGGATAATAGGTGAAACAAAGATATAAATGATTAAGGAAAAGTGTTTCTTGATGAAGAGTAACAAGGTCCTGATATTAGGCCAAAACATTTACTCTGGTCCAAATGCCACTGAAGGACTACATACTGCAGAGCACAGAATGGTATGTACAAACAAGGTTATTCCTGTTACCTGAAAAAAGATACCAATTTCTACATGTTCTAAAGGGTGAATAATCAGTATTGCACTGATTAGTTGTCACAAAAATGTTAAGGATTGCTTTTCTCTAATGACAGTTCAGCCAGAGAATCTTTTTATGGTATAGCTCTTGACAAATAGAAGGTGGCTGATTACGTATTTTTTTAAAAATCTTAAATGTGTTTCAGAATTAAGTGGTAAAAACACAACTGAGGAAGCAGATTCCAATGCAGATAAAATTTTAGTTTTTTTATTTAGAATACATTTTCAGCTTTTTATTACCATTCATTCCAACTACTACTATTTGGCTTGCAGTATCTCCTTTGTGAATGCATTCTTGTCCAAATCTAAACATTCACATACATGTTTTCAAGCAGTTAGGATAACCTGCACACTTGGGATAAAAACAAAATTAAATTTATATGTTGATACATGGAATCCTGATGACTATGAATAGCTTTCAGGCTATTGTCCTCAATTATGCATTGCTGATTTTACAGTTGAGCATAGACTTTTAGAAACAACTAGGACAATCTACACTGCCACCCTACTCGCTATTGTATTCCTCCTCCTTTCTTAACTTCCATTGGAACCTAAGATACAGACATCAAAGAACAATTAGGACTGCACCAACACACAAAAAAAAAAAATTAATAACTTCAGAAATGCATCAGACATTCCAACACTAACTCATGCAGATGTCAACTGTAATATTTCTTGGACCACTTATTATCAAGTCAGGCAGGCTGCTACTGACATTAAGGGTGTTAAAAGCACTGCTGAAATGGCTTCTGAATCTTTTGTAAAGGACACTACTTACTGAGAGATGGTTAACCTCCGCAAACCCAGTGTCTCCAAAATGAAAATGTATAGCACGTTTTCACCTTAGCATTTTGTAACCAATTTCATCAAAATGAATGCGTAAAGTACAAAGACAGGTCCTTTAGGGAATCGTCACAAATTTTATTTAATTCTCATGTCTAAACCACTGACTGTAAGATCTCAAAGACTAATATTAACTTTTCAGAGCAGACTGGTGATCACTTTGCATTATAACCGAAACCTGTTATATATCTTTCTAAAATTAGGGATCTTCTCGTAAAATTTTACGCCACTTCTCTGTAAATTGTGCCAAGACTCTCATCATAAGGTTGCTCCTGGACAAGATCCAAAGCTGTACCTTGTTGAAGAGCGCCTAGTTCTTACATTAGCTTTTTGTAATACCAATATTAACAAATACTAACAGATGCTCTAGCCAAGTTTTCCTTCAGATTCCATGCCTACCTCTGAAAGAACATTACAACAGTTATAGCAATGAGTGGTAACTGAGAAAAGCTACTTTTAAAGCAAATTTCAATTATTGAAACATTAGACATCCCATGCAGTCCAAGTTGCACAATCCTCACTTGTGGCTCTTTCAATGAAATTGAAACAGATGAGTTTTTTTTTCAGACAAAAATACATGTAATCAAATATAACTTCAATTGTAAAATAAAGTAGGAAGTAGCCTAAAAGGTCAGAAAAACACTAAATGAGTAACACGGATTATGCTACAAGCTGTGAAAAGAAGCCAGAATATCACATCCTGTCAAGCAGAAGGAAGGAAAGGGGTAAGTAAAAAAAATCAGAAATTCAGTACTGATCCTGGAACATTCACAGAATTATTCTGAAAGATTATGAACAGAACCATTTCCAGAGCAGTCAGTTAACATTCCCATCCCCTCAGGAAAAGAAAAAAAAACCCTTTTACAAAGTTTGAGACTTTCAAAACATGAAAAATCAAAGTCATCATGTTGGCTGTGGATAACTACTTGTATGTTATAAAATTTTAGATTATAGGATCAGTACAAATTTCTTCAGGTTTATTCAAAGCCTTAGAAGGAATTTAAGCAAAACACAGTACTATGTCTACCCTACTGTAGGTCCCCTCAATAAGGACTAAAGCTTACTCAACAAGCTTTGTTACTTCAAACGTTTTATTCTGGTGTCAAATATAAGGCTGTTGAATTTGTTTGACACTTTTTTTTTTCCACACATCTGTTAATGTGCAGTATTTACAATAAAGCAATACAAAACCAGTTGGGTTTTTTTTCTATCTTCAATCACAGTCTTCCTTTTCTACACTACATAGTACAAATGATTATGCAAAACATCACCTTAATTTACATTCAAAATAAAGAGTGAATATTCATAATTTTATGTAGCTTCAATTTCAATTTAAGAAGACCATATAAGCAAGATAGTTAATTTTCTTATGAAGGTGTCTTTTTGATTAGTCTTATCTTGGCTGATATATGAAGCTTCTACAAAAAGACTAAAATAATTTTTTTGTTGAAGTATATAGCGCTGCAAAAGAACTTGAACATTAATCCTTATTAACACTGATAGGTAAAATAAATATCACTTAATTTTTGAACTTATATCCTCTACCTCTTTGTAACACACATTAACCATCATCTTCTCTAAAAAAACCCCTTTGTGCAACCACAAACAGATGGACCTACAGTAACAGTCTTGCTGAATTCTAACGGGTGTGTTAAGCAAAGGAAGAAATATTAGGATACCATGCAGGTTTACTGAACTCACCTGACAGAGGTGTAAAACCATTTTCTAGGAGCAGAGATGCATGCACAAAAGTAAGAACATGATTGCAAGTAACAGACTTTCATGACATCAGACACAACAACTTCAAAATAGAACAAGAAAACATCCTGGTAAAAATGAAAAGTAAAATTTCAAGTTGCCTCACCTCTCGCTTTGCAAGCAGCACATTAGGAACAATATGAGGCAGGCAGCGTCCCAACATTAACATGACACTTTTTTCACTGTCTGCAATCCGAGATACCTAGAAAATAAAATTGTTTGTTTGGTTTTTTTTAAATGAAGCATAGGAACTGAAAAATATCCTTTGAAAAGAATATTAAGAATTGCAGCTAGCCGATCACCAAAAAATATTTCCTTTACTCATACACATTAAACTGTACGTTTTTGATCTGGCAGTAACTTTAAAAGCATGAATCCACTTGCAGAGACTCAAAACTTCCCACTAATTACGTATCTTTCACCAGGTTTCATATTTAAGCTAAAAAATATGAAAACATATCCTTATTTCTTAATTTTCATGCACATAAATTTATCTTTCCTTTTACATTAAAATATATTGTTTAAAAGCAATTGTCTATTTAACTATTGCTGCCATGCAGAAAAAATGATCTTCTAGTTTATGTCAACTGGGAAATATACCTCTGATCCCAAACGGCTGTCTGCAGACATCCGACAGAAAGACAGTAGTGCTTGATGGAAAGCTGGTGACAACTTCCTGAAACATTGCCAAAAAGAGGGGGGGGGAAAAGCACAGGTCAGAAAGGTCCTTTCACTCTGGTTTGACCAGCGAGATAAAATGACATTAGGAAAGTGTGTTTGAAGTGAAGCAGAATACTGCTGAGGTTTTTGTTTAAAATTATCTTTGACTTCTAGTGGTTTTCATTTGCAGCAAGGAAAAAAACTGGGTGTACTAATGAAGAAGTTACTTATAGTTCCAAAACCTGCTAAACATACAGAAATAGGTCTAAAGCACAAAGAAAAGGAAGCTTTAGCAATAGAAGAGGAAGCACAAAGTTATGCAAACCGGAGAGGAGCAGAGGCAGAAATCACAAGAAACAGTATTTTTGCTTAATGCTCTGATTCCACACATTGCATAAAAACACCTGAATAGCCAGTTACTAACTTCAGAATTAAACAGATTGATCAAAAATAAAGATTGACTTTGGGATCTAAACGTTGGATTTAAATGTATACTGAGAACCTGAAAGCTAACCTTAAACTGCTGCCTAATCCTTAATGTAGATGTGTATCTATTGAAGCACTGCCTCCTGGTCAGGCACAGTGCCAGCCAACACTGCCCAGACACTCAAAACCCTGATACAGGTCTCAAAACAACCTTGTTTGAGGAGGACAATCTGGCAGCGATGTTCTCAGAAAACAACTACTAAACTGATCTTTACCTAAAACAGGCAAGCATCATCAGCACTGGCATCCTTTTATTCCCAGTAACGACAACTCCCTCTGGTTTAGCTGAGGCCTGTATTTAGATGTTATGATTAAATAGGAAGAAGATTTGTCTTCCCAGACACCTACAGGAAGCATCTCACCCTGGATCATCATCTGCTGTTTGGACCTTCTAATGACACTGCATGAGTTTAAGGAAGGAAGCAATACCTATCTCTTATGTGGAAACCGCTATCACCTTCTACCTCCTAAAAACGCTATTTTGTGCACCTGAGTGCACAGAATCCTGTGCACATGCAATTATGTGTATGGACATACATACTTTTATCTAATAGACTGAAAAAACCACACTATTTATAATAAATACGTCATCATTTCACCTTTTTCTAACAAAAAACAAACCCCACAGTAAGAATCTAAGTTCCTACATGCTGTTTAATTCAGGAGGATACAGGTAAATACAGAGAAGTTTTCTTCTTCTGACTATTATAATGTTATAAATAAACATTTCGTACATTTATGTTTATTATTTAAAATCAAATTTCTTTCTGACAGTACGGGTTTTTCAAACATGTTTTAAACTTTAAGGAAGTCTTTAATTCTGATCAGCTTGGTTCCATACAAGGGTTCACTTTTTTACTAAACAGATGAAGTTGCAGTGAGTTGTAAAGGACCTCTGTTTAACAATGTTGGTCCCTACTGTGTAAAGGTATTCCTGCATGACAGAGTTACAGGCTCTAATCAAGCCTTTAAGGTTTGTTTACACTGGGATAAGGGGAGCAAACGCTGCAAAATGGCAGCTTAACATTAGACAAGGCCTCTACCAGCCCTTGGCCTGGGCATTTGTTCTGCAGAACATCAGATCCTTCCTCAGTTGAAACATTATTTAAAATCCTATGTAAAGACAAAATTCTATCCCCATTTTGTAGAGACTGAAAACTAACTAAGTATGACAAATTAATTTCCCTATGGGTTAATCAGCAGCAAGCTCTTGGCAGCATGGGTCCCATTACAATTGTTGGCTATATTTAGAGTCAAGAAAGATCCTCCTTGATGAATTCTAGTAAAATCCTTAATGGCTATGCTGGTCAGAAATGATAAAAGACCCAGGCCTCTTGTACACAAGTCAGAGGAAAACCATTCTGAAGGTCAACAGATGCCAGTAGTGAAGATGTTCAGCTTTAAGAAAGTATGATGAATACAAGAACCAAGCACTACTATCCCACTCCATGTAGCACTGTGACAAGAGTTAATTTACTGGAAAAGTCCCAAGTGACTGCTATGTAACAGAAAACCCCTTGTATTTGGTAAAAACTACCAAACACCTTAAAATGAGTTGAACAGATACATGTGGTACAGTCTACTTGAACTGCTGCTAGTGTTTTCTACTGCCATCTGTTTGAGGAGGCATTTTCCAGTGACAGCCAAGTCCTCCACTGCAGGCACGCATGCGCAGCTGCTCCGAGCGCAGGCACGCCAGGCAAGCTCCCGTGCTCTCCCATCCTCTCTTCCCATCTGGGCAAGATCTATGCCAACAATCCACTCTCTGGCTACAGTAGTAAAAATCTTGCCATCTAGGATAGAGCCTTAGTTTTAATACCTCTTAAAACATTCTGAATAAATTATAGTAATTGTGTTCTACAAATAACCATCCCCGGACTGAAATAAATATCCAGCACTTCTATCGTGCCTCTTCTGCCACAGATCTCAAAACACATAAAAAGTAACGTAATTCTTAATGAAAACATTACTGTATCATTACAAACCAAGTGCATAATCCAAGAAGAAAATTTAGTGATACAGAGCTATAAAACACTGTATCAAATATAATTTCATTTGACCCTTCACTGACACATTAAGCCCCAAACTCATTACAAAAAGGGCAACATACTATACGTGCATTCCTTATTTCTGCAGTGAACTGCATTTGAGGAGACTTCTTAAATTAACTCAATGGGGAGTCAAGGCTTTATTCAACTACTTTTCAAATAAATCCATATGCAGTTATATTTAAAAGAGCTGTGAGCGCAAAACAAATTCTGTTTTTCTAGAGACTCCCATCATAAATCCCATTGGAGATACCAACAGCTCCTTCATTCAGGCATCTCATCCTGTTTCAATACCTATCTTCACTACCACCAAACCACCCATCTAATATTCATACGCTTAACACCTTCTTAGCACTCCCAATTACTCTGAGCAGAAAAACTTGCAGCACGCTACAGATGAAAGTAGGTAGACAAGTTTATAGCAACAGGTGTGTGACAGCTATAAATTTTGATTATTACATAATCTAGATATTCAGCTAAGATATGAAATAAATTAAAAAAAAAAAAATCTGGAAAGCTTAAGTAGAACCACTGCAAATTTTTGAGAAAAATCTAAGCTGAGTTTTACTTTCCTGTTGGACACTAGTATACTCAACTAAAGGAGAAGAAACTTGGAGTAAGACTCCAAGGTACTGAATTCACAAATTGTAAATCTTTCCTCCTGTTCAATGCTAAAGCTGAGCTCTCACTGAAAAAGTGTTCCTGGCCCTAGGACCCAGTGCAAGAAGTTTAGGAAATCCAAAGAAAACAGGACACTTCAGGTTTGCAAAAAAAGTTAATTACTAAAAGGGGTAGCAACTGATTCTTCTTCTACCACCCCCACACCCCGAGCCCGTATTGATTTTTTGTCTGCACAGATTCTCACACATAGGTTTCTGCGTGGTATTTGCAGACTGAAAATAATTCCAAAAACTTTTGTTAGTGCTGATACAGTGATAAGAACACTAAAGGAACTGACAAAATACAAAGCAGAAAGAATGGCTGCCTGCTCCCCTAGGAACAGCACCTGTAAGACCATAAAGTGAGCTACTCTGACAGCCTTGTCCACAACGGTAATTTTAGAAGTTGTACATACACTTATTAAGTTTGTGATCCATGTTACTCCACATGGCTACAAAGTGTTTTATCTCTTACTTAATGAACGTTCACTCCCGTGTTCACTACAATGTTTAAAAAGACTGTGTAGATTGAAGAGGTTTTGTCAAGAACACTCAGATGCACAAACTCAGTCTCTAGATAATAACACAACATGAATACCCTATTTTGATTAGAAGAATTATGATTACCTAGTGAAGACTGCCACAAATTTAAAACTCAAATAAGCAGAATGTCAAATACACTGATTATTAAAAAAAAAAAACACACACACAAAAAAATTAAAAAATCCATACAGCTCTCATATTATTTTAAAGTTATACACAGGACAAGTATAGGACAAGTAGGAATTTTCCCAACCCCTTTTCTAGCAGAGAAGAAGAGATTTCATTGTGAAAATAAAATTTAAAAGAGAACAGAAATATCCTGCTTTCCCATTCACCATTTTGATTTTAGCTTTTTTTTTTTTTTTTCTGTTGTTGCAAGGAGCAGCACTGGTTTTAGAAAAAAGTAGGAGGGGAAAAAAAACTCTTAAGCTTAGTACTAAAAAAAAAAAAAAAAAGATGGTTTGTCAAATGTACTCCTCTCTAAAAGGATTATTCTAAAACTATTATATCAGCACAGTATCCTAAAGGTATGCCAAGTCTTTTATTTGCATTCAAAAACTGAATTCTGAAGAATTTTACTGCTAGAAGAGTATCCACCCACTTCACAAGAATTTTTAACTGAAGTGTTCCAGTTTAAAAATTATCACTAACCTATTAGGTTTATCAAAGTGGACTACGGCGTTAGTTGACTGAGCACTAGAGGACAGTTTCTTTGTTTCTTTACAGGGCACAGAGTTTAGTGTATCATCCTTAGTCCTTGAATCCACTTCAGCTGATGAAGAAAAGCTTGTTTCCTCAGCGGTTCCAGGTTTACTGTCATTCTCAGAGCTCTTGATATCCAAGTACCGTCCATTGTCCTCTGAGACTGAGAGAGGCACTTGTTTTAAAGGAGGATGGGGAGCTACACCATAAACTGTTGACACCGCAAAGTTTTCATTCTTGAGAAAATCTATTTCACTGAAAGAGGAAAAGGAAAGAATGAAAAATTTTTGGAGCTTTCACGAGAAGTAGAAGTCTTTCCAACATTTATCAGCAGTTGAGCAGATTGATAAATACATACCTCTCAAGTCTTTGGATTTGCTCCATCAAAGACCATTTCTCACTGTTTAACACACTAATTTGATCTTCTAATTTTTGCACTATTAAACATTGCTGAATACAAGATAGAAACAAAAGAGTTTAGTACAATAAAATCAATTTGTTTCAGCTTTTTGCAATGCATTTCTTCTGTACAGTCTCTTACTTCTATTGACTGTGGTGCCGTTTCAAATACAGGGACGCTCCCAAGTATAGGAGTAGCAGCCTCTAGCTCATCATCTTCTACACCAACTGATACATCCACCACATCTCTCGCAGTAACGTGATGGTTTCCAAAGTCACGATAAAGTTGCAACAGGTCAGGAGGCTTTGGAATGTTCAATCCTACATCATCCCAAAGTTCAAAATCCTTCAAAAGGAATAAAAGAAACTAAAGCATACAATATACTTTCTTTTATTTTTGTTTCTCTTCCTCCTCTGACTGCAAGTCACAAAACCGCAAAATAATCACATCAAGATTGCATTGTAGTAAAGGAGGTGGAAGCTCAACTCAGACAGCAAGAAACAGAAGTAGAAAAAGGATCCATTTCATGACCCAAAGCAGTTTCACGCTAAAGACAACTCTAGGTGAGGTACTAAAGACAGAACCTTCTAAAAACACATAGACAATAATTTATTTTTTCCTAGGATGTGGACACTTTTTAAAATCAGATATACCACTGATCAAATTCTAGCCAGTGCAGATAATAGAAAGCTTTCAACTGATAAGGGTATTGTTTTGTTCCCATCTCATTCACACAAACAAATGCAATTTTCCAAAACCTGACACTCAAATAGCTCTCTGAATGAAAGATGGGCTGCTATTCTCAGTGAAATTTGGATATAACTGTATTATTTGTGTAAGGACATAAACAATCCTGGGGCCTTCTGTCTCAAACCATCACTATATGTCCTTTCTTCCCTCACCGACATGTCGTCACTCTATTACTACAAGGCTTTTCCATGTCTGTATATATAATTAAGCATGTGCACAGTTACACAAGTGTTCTGATGGTCTTGTGAACAACTTTAAATTTCTAATTTGTTTTTTTAAACCTTTTTCAGACTGCTCACAATTTTTGCTTTATTTTTCCATAGTCTCGTTAGATACACCTACTGTGAAGAAATATTTTCTGAAAGAATGAGGTGAAAAACGTTGGGGGGGGAAGAAGTGCATTCTGTATGTCAACTGCGGTTTATTTTTCAAAATTAAGAACTCTTCTAGGCTTTTTTGCTAATTGTCTCACAACAGAAAACATTTTCAGCTGAGAACACATAAAAAGTAAGGATAATTTATTCATGTTTTCTCTTTTTGGGGTTGTATCCCCACAGGCATATTTATGAAAACTATTATTATTGTCATAGAACCATGTAGGTTGGAAAAGACCTTTACGATCAAGTCAATCAAGTTGTCACTTGGACTTGGTAACCATGTCCCTAATCACAACTTCTACATGTCTTTTAAATACCTCCAGTGATGGTGATTCAGGTGTTTCCCTGGGCAGCCTGTTCCAGTGCTTGATAACCCTTTCCCTGAAGAAATTTTTCCTAATATCCCACCTAAACCTCCCCTAGTGCAGCTGGAGCCCAGAGCCCATTTCCTCCTATTGCTTGTTACTTCTGTAGAAGGGACCAGCACCCACCTCTGTACAACCTCCTTTCAGGTAGCTGTAGAGTGGTAAGGTTTCCCCTGTGCCTCCTTTTCTTCAGACCAGACAGCCCCAGTTCCCTCAGCTACTCCTCATAAGACTTGCTCTCTAGACCTTTCACCAGCCTAGCTGCCCTTCTCTGGCCCCATCCAGAACCTCAATGTCTTTCTAGTAGTGAGGGACCCTCTTCTGCTAATGACTTGGCCAATACAGAAATGCCATTAACGGGCAGACCAACAGCCAGACCCCTCCCTCTGATCTTACATCATACATAAACCATCCAAGGCCCCAGACCACTAGACGAAGGAATGAACACATTGACTCACAGCACGTTGTGTAAAGAAAGGAGTGAGCTGCCTCATGAACCAAGCTGTGGGAGATGGGATCAGCCAGGCAATGAGTCCTAACATGGCACAGTTCCCCAGAGGAAGACTTCATGATATTGCACCAACATCCTGGGAACTCCACTTGCCATGAGCAGCCAGTGAGCCCTTTCAATGACCAGAATCCCCACACATCATGTGCACACTGTGCAGGCAGGCCTTCCAACCCCACTGCAAGCAGAGTCAGCTCCTACAGAGGTGGCTTCTTGCTTCACCTCCAAGTTAATGTGGAAGGTAGGGGTACCTGGTGGTGATCTCCTAATCAGTTCCCACCCAAGGCTGGCCAGACCCTGGATGAAAAGCAGTCAGGAGGTCCTTTCTTGCCAAGTTGTGGACATCACCCATATGCCAACCCTCATTCAGGGCTGGGGGTTTAAGCCCCAGCACTTCAGGCCCAAAACACAGTACTCATAGTGTGGCCTCACCAGTGCCAAGTACAGGGGATGATCATTTCCCTAGTCCTGCTGGCCACGCTATTTTATAAGCCAGGATGCCATTGGCCTTCTTGGCCACCTGGGCACACTGCTGGCTCACATGTAGCCAGTTGTCAATCAACACCCCAGGGTCCCTGTCTGTTGGTCAGCTTTCCAGACACTCTTCCCCAAGCCCGTAGCATTGCATGGGGTTATTGTGCCCCAAGTGTGGACCCAACACTTGACCTTATTAAAACTCCTACCACTGGCCTGGGCCCATCAATTCAGCCTGTCTAGGTCCTTCTGCAGACCCTTTCTACTCTCAAGCAGATCAACACTTCTGTCCAACTTGTAACCTGTAAACTCCATTCACCACCACACTCTAGGCCCGGCCACCCAGCCAGTGTTTACACAGCAGAGCGTGCACCCGCCTAAGCCATTTTTTTCCTGAGAATGCTATGAGAAACAGTGTCAGAGGCTTTACGGATGTCCAAGTAGACAACATGCACAGCCTTTCCCTCATCCACTAAGCAAGTCACCTTGTTATAGGAGATCAGGTTCGTCAAGCATATATTCAAATCGTAAGTGGTAAATCCAGAAATTTTACTCAATGATACATTTTCTTTACAGATTAGGATATGAATTGTGGGAAAAATATAGGACGACTAGTTACAGATAGAACTGGTTGGAATTCAATATTTAAAACTGAATTCAAACATTAACTAATCTGGCAATATTCCAGTTTCGTGCTGAATATATATTTGCTGTTAATGTTACTGGATGTTTTGTTTATCCTGTAATGGTCAGAATGTAATTAGAACCCTCCAAACATTTGAATGATTTTTTTCCCCCATGAAATGCAGGCCGATAAGAGACATAAAACTGATCATCTTAAGAAAAATGCATCAAAGCACAGCTATGTTTGGAATCATCCAAGAAAATAACACCTTACTACTGAGAGCTTCTCCAAGACTACATGGCATGCCACAGAATGATTAAGTATCCTCACACATACATACGCCCAGGAGATGACAAGCAATAAATCAACTGACTGTGACTTCAGGGAATTATGATTCAAAATTTGTTCAAAATTGTCGATTACATTCAAAATTTTACTACATCCTGATCCCTGAGTTTAACTGAAAGGGTACTGATCATAATCCTGGAGTGTGTAAGCTCCTATAACTCACAGTATTTTTCTTCTTGTTTTGCTTCTTTTAAACAACACAAGCATACTGTCTCCATACAAATCCTCCTACAAATTTTGGGAAAATACTCCTCAAAGTGTTGCATTTTCAAACTATGCTTTATATTTGAAAATACTAATGAATATATTTAACTCCTAGAATATTCATATGTATGAAGCAAACTACATGCACAGGAAATATCATTTAATTTCACTTGAATCTATGAGAAGATCAGAATATAAAAAGCAGGCATGTAAAAAAATGACAAGAAAACTTTACCTGATCATGATTTTCATCTGAAAACGTTATTGACGTAAGCTTGTAACTATTCTTCAATAAAAATTCATTAACTAGGAAGTTTAGAGCTCTTTTCTCAAGAGGTCTGATTGGCTCCTGGAAAAAAAGGAAACAACATACTACATCTTTGGTTCATCTTCTTTCCAAATACAGAAGCATATCCATCTTAAAGCCCATGCAAGCCTCAGTTATCACCAGTCACCTACCTGAATTTCAGGACTTGATTTATAATTTTTTCGTTCCTGCAAAGGAACTTCATTTTCTGGGGAGGAAAAAAAAGTAACTGAATTTTACTCTTTCACACAGGATGAGCTCAGCTACTTCTACATTGTTCAAAGTAGAGACTTAAGAAAAAGTTTATGTACACCACCTGCAGCCTGAGTCAGGTTGGCTCGGAGGGCCTGTATGGTCTCCTTGGCTTTCCGTAGTTCAAACTCCAGGACTGGACAGGGATTTGGATTAAACACACACAGGCATCCAACCAAGGCAAGGGAAACAAAAATAAAATATAAAAAGCAAGGATGGGTGTGGAAAAAAAAATACAGTTTGTATTAAACAGAAAGCATGCAATCTTTATGGAACTCATGAACACATGCAGCAGAGTTGGTCTGAAAGCAAACTGGTGAACATTTTCCATAGTTTCATGGGCCTTAAGTTAGGTAAATCAAATTTTCAAGCTGTCTGACAAGGACTCGCCGTAGTGTTTTTGATGGGTTTTTTTGAGCTTTTAACTTTTCATATTACTGGGAAATGCTTGTTATTTCTTCCCCACTTGCTATCAGCTGATACTGTCAAATGTTTTCACTTCCTGGGACAAGTGGCGTATGCAGGCAATCAGAGGACAGACCTAAATGAAGCATATAGATGCTGGCAGCAGAGAAGCTGTTTCCATGTAGCAGAGCTTAAACCATACAGTGAATGTGTGACAGTACAATTATAGACTACCATTTTTTTTTTTTTTTTAAACACAATTACACACTGAAATTTTAGTAAGTTAAATGGCGGAACTTGAAACATGCTTCATTTTGGTATTAAGGGTAATCTTGCCTGAAGTCTCTATTTTAAAATATTGGGAGTTCTAGGAATACACTACAGTTAATTAAGATGTTGAACTTAATTGAATACATTTAAGAGATGCACAAGTTCAAAACAAAGTAAAATATGCAACTCTCCTCATGTATTTATATAGAAGCTTGAAACAAAAATGTCTTTACTCCATTGTTCTTTAAAGTTTCCTGTGATTCCAGGCTATGCATCACTTCCAATGATGCAGAGCTAGTTTTAGAGACACAGAAATATGTAATTCTAGCTGCCATTATCACCTGCTCCACCTGCCCATCTCCCCTTGCTCACTGTTAGGTGTTTCTCATGTTCCAATGCTGCCTCCAAAAAGGGCCATTAGTGCTTTGATGTTGAGGTCACACCTATACTGTGGCTTCAAATTTTAAAACCCTGTACCTTTGCAAAACATACAGTAAATGTTCTTCTTATAGCCATTTACAGTTAGAGCATCTAAGGTTTTACCAGCTAATTACATACACTTCATTAATTCTCAGATTAATCTAATCTAACTACACCTAAATTAACAGTAACCAGAAAGAAGGATCCTTGTACTTAACTAAGAAGAGATGAGCACAGAACAGCTACCATACTGAAGTGTTAAACTACTGTAAATAGATTATCTGACCTTTACTTTATTCCCATGCAAAACTAAACATTTTGTAGCTGCTTTTAATAAGAAAATATTAATGAGATTTTTAATCATTGCCTGGAAGCAATGTAACAGGGCATTTCAAAATATTTACAGAGGGCACAATGCATGGCAGAACCACTGCATTGGCTCTTGTTTGTAAGAAATGCTACTGAAAACTACAAATAAAAGTGTTTCCTCTTTTGAATGTCTGTTACTAAGAATCTTTTAATAATTAGGACACATGGAAAAACAGATTCACTCAGTTTGCATTTATCCATAAAAACTGAAGGAGTCACTACAGTACACCACGTTTGCTACATGAAAGTAACTTGTTTGATGCACAGAATTTTACTGCAGCGATACAAAAGCGCAACTGAGGATACGATGAATAAAATATGTAAAATCTCTCTAGTATTCAGCAATGCTGATCTGCAAATACTTCTGTGCAACAAAGGTAGAAAATGCTCTTGTAGTAAAGTGTCTAATAATTTTAGCACTTCCTTGCATTTGAGTTACTAATTCACAGTTACAATTCTAAGTTGCAAGCTACTAATTTCTTAGGTTTTGAAAATTGTAAAGAATTCAAATTAGGTAATTATCCTGATGGAAATGACTATGTGCTAACGTTTTACTCCTCTAAAGTATTTTCAAAGACCAGAACAGTTGCAGATCAGGAGTGCCCTGCACTAGAACGATATAAATAATTAAAAAAAAAGGTTAGAAAAAAAAAACAAACTAGAAAAACTCAGGAATTCCGTTAAGGAAAATAGGAATAAGACATGTCTGAAGGCATAGAAAGCCAAAAAACTCCTGTCAGACAAACCCGTGTCAGACGGCAAGGATTAATTTTTTGTGAACTGTCATGATGCTGAAAATTCTTAGAAGCCATTAGGACTTAACCCACTCAACCTTAAAAGATTACTCTGCTGCATGTTTCTCTGTATACAGTGGAAGGTTCTAGACATAGTATATTTGAGAAGTTGTCACTTTGTAGCATGTTACAACAGCCATATAATTTTACTACTACACAACATTGTTCCAGTTGTACCCTCATCTTCTAGTCTTACTAATGTCACCATTATAATCAGCACAATACAAACCTTGGTGTTTCTCAGCCAGTCACAGATTTAGCTTTTCTTTAAAGAAATTTGTAGCTTTTTAAATATAAACAAATATTTGTAAATAGGTACAACATTGCAAGCAAATTTTAAATTATTATTAAAACCTCTTTATTTTACAAGTTATATTGAAAGGCAATCTTCTGAAAAAATACCTAATGATTTTTAGCTCAACTTGTGTACCAATGAAATCAACACTGGAAATCCCTATTTGTTGATGATATGACATTCACTTAAGTAAAAAATAAATCAACCACTAGCCCCTTTCTTCATAACCATTGTCAAGTGCTGATTTTCAAAATAAATGACCTGATCTCTCTCCCTCTCTTTCTGTTGTAAAGCTTATGTACCTTAGAGAAGTTAAACCCTCAAAAACATTGATAAAGCAGCTAAGTTTAACTTTGTGCTTGACCGAACTGGTAACATGTACAAGTCATTAAAGTATTTGGTGAAAGGAGTTGATGCTCCTTGAGGACAAAGAACAGAAGAGTTTTGCTGCAGACAGCCTAGGAAAGCACAGAACCAAATTTATTCTCCTCTACGTGAGGAAAACAGAGAACAGAAATATGGAGCTCTGAGATTGGTTAATCTTCCTACACTGGGAAAGGGCATTTCTGAACAATCTGGTTTGTCTCATGGGAGAAACTGTTCAAATTTAAGTGACTCTCTTGTGTTTTCTTTTTATAAAGAACTCAAATCACTACAGTTACCATTCATGAAAAAAAATACTAATTAGACTTCCTTAAAAGAGTTGAACCTTTCAAGCAAGCAACTAAGCATCAGATCAAGGTTAAGATTAGCGATTTCTAAATGTCTTGAGTCTTCATGCAGCTAATCTAATGCACCTTAAAAGAGAAGTGCACATCGGGAGTGGGTAGCTTGTCTGCTGAGCTTTGAAACTTAAAAATGAGTAAGAATCATATTCTATTCACCTCCATTTGTTAGTGACTTGGTAAATTATTGAAGCATAGATTGAGAAGTTGGCTATAAAGAACAACCTGCAGTATGGGATATTGAACAAGCGTGAGATCTACATGAACAGCAGCTTTGTTGGGCTAAGGCCAAAAAGTTGAAGAAACAAATGGTGAGTCTAAAAATTTTCAGTACTTTTTTGTATTATCAGTCCTTTTGAGTTCTTCCTCCCTGTAAAGTAAATGTAGAACTTAAGATGCGCTAAATTATGCCCTCTAAAACATGTATGACATTCCATTACTTTGGATGGATTTTTTGAGTCAAACGGAAGAAATTTGAATTCTATTACTATAGTTAGTAATGAAACCACCATTACAATATACTCCAAGACCTGAGGTTTCTTAATTTCCACTTCCCTGATACAAGTCCCAAGAAGAAATGACCATATTTACAGCCCATGTGAAACACTCCAGGATGTTAACATAAGTAGACCTGAACCATAAAGCTGTGCTACAGCCTCAGAGATGACTATCAGGCTAGGAAAAAAATACAATCAGTGTGAGAGTTCATGAGCCAGCTAACAGAACTTATCATTCAAATAGTGGGAAGCCAACACATAACTCATTAGCTTCATTAATGCTTTTAAGTTAATGAGACAGGACCAGCTACAGAGAAGACCTGAACTACAGCAGACTAGCCTTCAAGTTCAACCCCTGGAGGCAGAACCTGGAAGGAAACTAAGGAGGGTTACGACTGCTAGCAGGGCTTAAGACAGGAAGTGGGAAAACAGACCGACTCCCACTTCCAGGATGAGCAAACCGAACACACAATGTCAGCAAGTGATTCTCGTAGATGCCTTTTGTGCTTCTGTTTACTACTTGTGGGTTTTAAGATTCCCCTCTGATCTTGAGTGTGTATAAGTAATAGTACTTATCAAAAAACAAAACAAAAAGCTCTACTGAAAGCAGAAACTATGACTCTAAGTCTAGATAAATTAAATCCTAAAAATGAATCAAATGGGTTTTAAACATGTCTCTTCCCTTCAAATCCTGACAGGGAAGGGATTTTATTCTGCTAGTCCGAGATACACAGTCTAGCCAGAAACCAATGCTACTGCAGGGAGAGCTGAGAACACAAATGACTGAAATGGAGTTTGATTATGAGAATTAATTTACTATTATTGAAAATACAGCATTGTGTTTTTAAAAGTATCAGATTCTCAGAACAGTAGATGTCAAAGGTAGGTTAGTAAAACTCTTACTAAACATTCTGAATTATGGAAACTATCACAAACATGCTGGTGCACACAGTCAATTTGAGATGTGGCAAAAGATCCAGTTCATCAGACTGAATGTCAGATGACCTATTTACACCAAATGCTGCAGGTATTTAACTTCAAGTCAGGCATACTCTTACTCCACAAGAATGGAACATACTTCCATTCTTTGGTTGCTTTATGAAAATGAATATTTGGAGGAGATTTACTAAGCCCAGATCCTTCAGAACTGACTTTGTCTTAGCATCAACTGGTTCAGCACTTAAAACATTAATTTAAGACTTAGTAGTCTTAGAAAGCAAGTTGTTTCCATCTAGTAAATCAAAAGCTCTAAGGCTGCAAATATTTTTGGAAACTCTTTGTGGATTACAAATGTATTATCTAATTTGTTACACAGCTCTCTATATTTATGTTAACAAGAGGTAAATAAGGAAGAAAATTGATGTTAACTAAATTGCAGGTAATTTTGTCATGCTCATCCACATCCCAACTGGCTTTTGTGACTTGTATCTTTTCAGTCAAGCTGACAACAATATTACAGAAGAGACTCACTTAGCTTCTTTTGATCAGCTGTCCCAAGCAACAAGTCCACACCAACTCTGCAAAACATGTCTGCTTCTAAGCCGAATTTTGATTCTAATGCCAGATGGAATGGACTGAGCTAACAGATCTGAAATACTGAAATCCATTTCAAAGAAGAGTCTTCCTGGCTATTTCCAGGAACTTTTGTTTTGTTAGAAAAAAAAAAAATATTTTTTTTTGGATGGTATAAATCAACATTATTTTTATTTGGTGCTTTCTAATGTTGTGATGGTATAAAAGTATTCATAACCAGATATAACTTCAGTTTTAAAGTCCTTCTTACTCGGGTCCAGTTTCTTTTAGTGACTAATGTGCATTTATCTTCTATCTGACATTTGACTAGGGAATTGATATTGAAATCATGGGTTCTGTCCAAAAGGCAAAAAACAAGGATAACAGCATGAGAAAGGCATTCAGAAAAAGAAATTATTCAAACCTCACTGAGAGCTACCAAAAGAAAAATATGACTACCAGAAGATGGCCTCAAACCTTCATAAGAGATTATAATTTTATCTCCTAAGCATCAAAGCTCTCTGCTGAGAACAAAGAATACAGAAGAAATACACAGGATGGACTTCCAGCTATGTTTCAATGTGCACTTGCAGAAAAGAACTACTTCAAAAGCAAAAGTTACATGCTTTTCAAAAGAGCAAACTGGATATGGTAAGTTTCTGACATCTCTACTGACACAATTTTTTAATATGAAAATTAAATGGTTATGAGTTTTCTGAAGTTTTACTGCTCAGGTAGAGGGTTTTATACAGAAGTAAGGCAAAAGATTTAAAGTGATTACAACTGAACCAGAATTTTATGTAGAAATAGGATAATTTGGGAAACTGAGTCTTCACAAATACATAGAAATATCCAGTTTTCCTTTGTTCAAGTTCTGTCACTTTTTAACAACTCTTCGAAAGAACTCTCTAAAGGAACACAGAAATGTAATATAAATAACCTGCCATATAATTTGCTTGTCTGTTACATATGACAGTGATCAACTAATACACTGTAATCTTCCAAAATCTCTATTTTAGGATGTACTTAAATTTAATATTTAATTTTAGGATAATTTCATTTTGTATTGCAAGTAATCAATATTTTGTCTTTAATGTTCCATCAGAAGATTAATGGTTCTAGTGGATGTCAATTCTGACTGCTACTTTCTATAAGCACCTCTAATCCAGTTCAGTTACTAAAGACAGCTCCAAGCAAAGATCAAACTAGCTCTCTTGTTAAGAAAATTTCTAGCTCTATTGTCAAGAAATATTGACTAGAAACCATTAAAATATACCAAGATGATGAAAAAACAAACAAACAAAAATTCAGAGTTTGCTTCCTTCTTCCCTGTATTCCAGGACATAATTCAGAAATACCTGGATTCCTTAAACACACTTTGTATAGAAGATTAGCTGTATATCCACAATTATTATATCCTTGAAACTGTCTACATATATTGAAAAAGACAGTACTTTGGTACTAATAAGAATCTGGAAATTTCCATATAAATTGAAGAACAGTAAGTACCTATAGTTCCAGCCCAGAGCACCAAAATACCTGAATTTGCTTCATGTTCATGAATTTAATCCAGTCCTTTACCTCAGAAACACTGGCCGGGTAAGAAAAATAAGATTTTCCCAACACTTTTGTTTCTTCTCTTTGGGTCAACACTGGTTGCCATTTCAGACTGAATGAGAGAGGAAATTTCAGAATCAAGATCCTTTACAGAACTATGTTTCACCACCCTTTGCTTTGCTTAAGAACGTGACAGAGTTTCTGCTAGGATGAAGCATGGTGGTTCAGAGCAGGGACACAACAGTTTGCATAATTTCAGGTTTCAAAAAGCTCAACTGTGTGTACAAAGGTCAAACTTCCTGTGCTTAAGATTAAACAGTACTAATTCACAAGAAGTAAACAGTTCTGTGGCAATTTCTAGAAAGCTTTCATGGCTTTCTCTAAAGAAGCTGTGAATAACTTTATCTGAACTTAGAAAAAATTCTGAAATCTCGGGATTAGAGAAACATGGCTCACATGCAAAACAGATTATTATAATAACTTCAAATGTAAGACAAAAGCAGTCTTTGCCTTTGCCATGATGATAATAAATCCTGAAATTAGAATTGCTACAGGCTCCAAAATTCAGAATAACTGCAAGAGGCAAATACCCTGTCACTTCTTCGAAACAATCTTATACAATCAAGAAGTCAAATGGGAGAGAAGAAAAGCACTACAATTAAGATTTGTAGCAAAGAAGATTTATGAAACTGAGAAAATGCCAAATTTGCTCTGGGTTTGGTAATGCTTTTTTGATCTACACTACACAAGCTGTACTTATTTCTAATTGCATCAGAAAGCTATCACCCATGTAGTACTCACAGACTAGTACACAGAATATTTCAGCATATACTTCAGCTAAACAGTAATAGTCAGTAGACAATGTTAAGATACTGCTCTGTTGTCAAAAAAAATGGGCACAATGTTCAAGTAGACTTCTTGCTTCTACCCGGGGGAAATCTGGGATCATACAGAAGTACAACTGCCTGAATATTTGCAGTAGTTATAGTAGAAGTGTCTGAAAAGTGATTATATAATTGAGTAGTTAAACCACCACAGTGATGTTTTGTTATCTTCAAGAATGCTCATTTAAATGTATTTATGCTAGCAACTCAAACTGTTCAGTTAGCATTCTATGATTTCTAAATCACAGAAAAAAAACTTACCTGCTACTCTTTCATCTGTTTCCCTATTGCCATCATCAGAGTATCTTGCAAAATCCAAGGAATCAAGAGTACTGATGCTTCCGGCACGATCTTAAGGGGAAAAAAGAAGGGGGGGGGGAAAGAAAAATCAGAAAAAACCTTGAACTTAATCACTAAATTAAATTTTTACTACAAAGGATTTCACTACGGAGAAACCTTAATAAGGCCTCTCAGTTCGGTCTCCAGTACAACTCTACTTACAAACCACCTCAGGTTAAGGCCTTCTAGCTTCTCCTGAATAAAAACAGACATTGAAGTTATGTAAGTGAATGACTGAGGCCATCTAAAAGATTTCCTTAGCATCACCTTGATGGCTACTTCTAGCAAAGAAAAAAGAACACTAGGGCTCCAGGATGCAATTCTCTGCATCAGTACAAATAAGTTGTACTTCGTTCCTGAACTGATCATCAAATATTTGTTTTGTGGAACAAAATTATTAAAATATGGAATTGCTAAGGTTACATTTTCTTGAGTTAGGAAAACCCATGATAATTCAACCAATAGACATGCTATACCTTAATATATGGCAGTAAGTTAGACTCCAAATGTTATAAACTACGATATAATGAAAGTAGTTGGGGATTATAAATGTCAGAAAACCATGTAATTACACCTGAGAGAATTCAAGCAAAATTTTCTAATCCTAAGATACTCTTCCATATTATGAAAAGTGAGAAGCTGAAAAAAGCCCTCTACTCCAATGTTTTTCAGCCTATAACCCATGGACTACTACTAAGACAAGCTCTAATATAATGAAGGATGCAGTTCCATGTATCTTTAGAAAATATACAGAAGTTTTTCCTGATGAGCTGTGCTATTGTTGTAAGCTAAGCTCTCCCTCCTCCCAGAACACACATACAGTGCTTCTTCCATGGAGGAACCCCTGAGGGAAAATCTTCTGCCCAAAAGAAAATTGACATAAGGAGATCGAATCTGAAACTTCAAGGGGCCTGCCAATCAAAGGTTGGGAAAAAAGTCCATATACAACTGGAAAGGACAAGGGCACAAGATATTTTATAGGATACAGCTTATTTTTACATTTAGGACATCCAGGTTAATTTTTAAGTACAAAGAGATAGGGTCAAATCAGCAAATACTCCAGTAACAGATCCTGGTTGAGAAGGCTCCTTAGAAACTACTCAGGTCTGCCACTTTTTTTCCCGTTTTCTCTGTGCTACAGGTACAAGAAAAGAACTGCTGAAATTCAGTCACAAGTGTGTCGATGTATATAATATCTGTTCCTGTTGGTGTAAAAGAAGTCAATGGAATAGGCACTCTACCTACTTTAAATATTCAAGACCAAGAGTAAACTAGTCCTTATGGCCATGCAACAGATGGCCTGCTCTCCTCTAGAGACACAGGACTGAAAAAGCACATCCTTGAATAACTTGCATTTTCAGCTGTCCTGCACAATACCACAGGCACAAAACAGCAGAAGCCAAGGAAACTGGGGACAGAGATTATCTGGGAGAATGAATAAACTTCCTCCTCCATTTGCTGGCACTTGCTTAAGCCCCTTATCAGTACTGGCCTGTCCATATGCACACGTGAGTAAACCAGCAGGCAAGAGGGACAGCGTTCACAGATCATAAGGAGTAATGTAAAACACTGAAGAGCTTTAATGTTAGAGTCCTTTCTACATTAAATCAAAGAATTGGACATCATTAATACTTTAACAAATAATCACTTCACAGTTTATCTGTGGCTGCATTATGTAGCAACTGAAATAGATACATTAAGCAATACATATGAATAATGAACTAAATTATTTAATTCCTAGTAACTGATATTGCAAGTTTCTTTCAGCATTACCAAATTTCACAAGACAACTCTGGAGCAATATTACTTTGAAAAGTGTTAAATGGCTGCTACCTTTAAAGCCTCTGATATGTTTCAACTTGTTCCAAGCTTATCAATACTGGATCAGAGAGCAAAGCCAAGATAATAGATAATAAAACTAAATTTTTATTATTATTTTTTTTAGGTTTTATCAGCAGCTGTCTGATCTAGCATAAAACCTTTATGGTAGCAACAGACCTATATATCAATTTTTTTTAAACCAACTTGAACCTGCAGAGTAAATTTTACCACATCAACACATTCCATATCACTATGGTAACTCTCAGATGGAACTAAAAGCCTTAAAGTAATTCATTCCATCAGGCACTAAATTGTAAGCACCTAACCCATCAAACTTGTTTTGAAATGGCAAGTGCCTCTTTTGCTCTCTCTCAGATGTTCTTACTCAATGAGACCTGCTGAATTTTCAAAGTTGATATATTCTGAAAAGAAATCCCTGGACTATCAAATGAAAAGAAAAATAAGTCTACAAGAATAAAATAACTTCCAAGGTGTTAGAGCAATCCACTTATAAAATACCTAGAACAAATATTCAGGATGTTCAAATAATACTAGTTCATGATGGGGAAACCAAACCAGATTGAAAACAGATGATCAATCATTTACCTCCATATTACTAACAAGCTATGAAAAATGATAAAGAGTATATGAGAGTAAAACCCCTAAAGCTACTTGGAAAAAAAATAACCTACGCTTGCTGGCCAAGAACAGCAGAAAAAAAACAAAAAAAAAAACAAAACAAAGAAACAAACAGGGGGAAAAAAACAAACAAAACCCTCAAAACCAACCCAACCCAAAATCACCAATCACCAGACACACAAAAAAACCACTTTGCAGATACACTGCAGTAAAAAAATACAATCCTCACTCTCCTGACAGGCCTACTGCAGAAGCTCATGAAAAAGATGAAATTACAAGTAGAAACCAGATCTTGCCCTCTAACACACTCCCTGAATTGGCTTAGGATACATATGCACCTGATCTCATGGAGAGCTGCACCAGTAACATACTGCTTTTGCGGGGGGCTCGCTGCATAGACAGCCTAAGGAAACATCCACATGAGTTGAGAGAATTAAGCTGGCCCTGCAAAAAGCCATTTGAATGTTGCTGCAGTCGACACTGAAGTCCAGGGGCATATGAGCTTCAGGAAAGCATTGAACCCAGCCTTGCTCCCTGCACACGTGCTGCAGTGTGCTTGAGCTATGAGTTTTCCCAAACAAAAAAGCTGAGGGAGAAGCACAGCACAGAGATAATTCTTCAAGCTCAAGACCCTGGCTGGCTTCAGCAGAAATAAGAAAGCATCAATGGCATCAAATTAACTTCATATGCTCCATGTTGCAGCACTGCATTTCTCAAAGTGTGCCAATTGACTTGCATGCCAAGGAGTTTGCCATTCTCTGCAGTAATCCAGCTTTCTGTTATACTCTGAAAACAAGCAATATTATATCTGTCTAGTCCTTAAATGGCTCTTTGCTGAGGGACTAAAGCGTACAGGCACTCATCTTAATTCTCAAGTGTTGTATTCTGTTTTTTTCATATTTCAGTTCTAGTACGTTCCCATTTCCCCAACATCTACATTTATCTCAGCATAGCTGTAAATTTTCCAGTTGAGTTCTAATAATGTGTGTCCACATATATTCTATAAAGAATTAAACAGATAAGAACTAGCAACTAGAGACCAAAGCACCTTTCCGCTGAGGAGAGGGTGAGAGAGCTGGGAAAGAGCAGGCTCAGGGGCTCATGAATGTTTATAAATACCTGAAGGGAGGGTGCAAAGAGGATGGAGCCCAGCTCTTCCCAGTGGTGTCCAGTGACAGGCCCAGAGGCAATGGGCACAAACTGAAACAATGTTTTCTGAACACCAGAAAAACATTTTTCACTGTGATGGTGACCCAGCACCAACACAGGTTGCCTAGAGAGGTTGTAGGGTCTCCATCTTTGGAGATACTCAGAAGCTATATGGAGATGGTCCTGAGCAATTGGTTGCACGTGGCCCTGCTTGAGCAGAGGGACTAGACCAGATGACCTCCTGAGGTCCCCTCCTACCTCAACCATACTGTGATCCTGTGATTATTTTCGCCATGATTTCTCTTACTTCGACAGTTTTGTCGAAGGACAAATAGCTGATAGTTCTCTCTCCCCTCCACCATCAAACCAAGATGAGAAAGTACTGTTTTATAAACAAGAAATGCTTATTCTGTGAGTTTTTATGTAACAGTATTTCCTTCAATTCAATAGCAAAGTAATTAGTTCCATCACCATCACTCAGTGTTATATTGTAGGAAGGGAGGAAGTAAACTGTCTCTTCCCTGTGGTGCTTGGGCAGGAGAGTTCAGTATTTCTCAAGGGCTTTTTCAGCTTGGTCTGTCTTAAAAAAAAAAAAAAACCACAAAACTCTTTGCAGATTTTTTTATTTTTTTTTTTTTTAACTTTTCATCCAACAAACTCTATATCCTTCATGCCATGTCTCAGGCATGTGCATCATAAACAAAAATACAAAGCCTACAACATTTACTGAATCAGTCAAAGTTTTAGCCTATGCTAGAAGAGAATTCAACTCCGTTTCTCAAACCTGCATCGTTCCAATACACTAGAAAACCAAATACAAGAAATACACTGAAGACAGATAACTTTGAACACATAACAGCATAAGGTTTTATGACTTATCTTCATATAGATAGGAAAAAGACCTCTGACGCTCTATTTTAAATAGTTCCAGATATGTTACGTAGCTGATTTGTAAAAAATATTAGTTTAGTTTGAAAGTACAATGACTTCCTGAGAAAGATTTTTTTCCATGTTTTCCTTGATGTTATATAACCTAGAAGTCCAGTATTTGGAAATTACAAGTTAAGAGTTGATGTACTGCACACAGATCAGCTTTTAACACGACTGATATCAACACCTACTTGATCATGACTTGCTTGCAAATACTAGATATATCTTTTTATATCAGGTAATAAATCTCAAAATTTCCAGCAAGTGCTCTCTCATATTAACAGAATTTATGAGTCACATCTGTCAAGAAGAAGATAATTCTCAGACTAAGAGAGAGAAACTCCATATAATTTATCTGGAATTGAAATTATGCCCAGGGAAACTTAGAATCATACAATCATCAGGGTTGGAAAAGGCCTCGAAGATCATCGAGCCCAACTGTTAACCCAACACTACCATGCCCACTAAACTGA